CTCTCTACACCGCTCCCCACCCCCACACACACTGTCAGATGCTGCTTAGCTCTGTTCCCTCCCCAGAGCACAGAACATGGAAGTGCAGCCCCTAGCCCCTGATGGCCATGCAGGCCAGTGTTGGTGATGCTGACTCTGGCCAGGCAGAGGACAGCGTTCCCATGTGCTCCAAGCTGGGGAGGGAATCCAGCCAGAGCTGAAGCCAAGCTGTGGCTCCAAAGCTTGGCTTCAGTTAAGGGGGTGGGGGCACGAGGGATGAACAGTAAGAGGGGGAATGGAGGGGGGCAGGGGGCAGAAGGTAGGTGTGGGTCTGACTAGCTCTGACCCACCTGGGAGGAAGCCACCTGCCTCCCCTCCCCTCCAACTCTGGACATGAATGAGGGACTTTCCCCGCCATGCTGGGTGGAGAAAAAAAAAAAAAAAAACAAAAAAAAACACACCTTGTCTTAGATTCAAGTAAGTAAATCCACACATTTATTTTTCCAAAGTCAGTTGTGCTTCAACCTTACACTCTACTATAAGTGTGTTCCTGTTACTACTGTCATGCAAGTATTCATGTTGCATCTCTGTGCTCCTAAATAGTGAATTGTAAATTTTTAAAAAAATTAAAACCAATGTTATGTGATGTTACATATCCAGAAAATTAAGTAAAGATCATAGTGGTTATACCTGAACAGTAAACCTGCATTTTAAAATGCAAGAGTATAAAACAGGAAGTCCAGTTTTTGGCCATATCATTTCCATTAAAAACACTTAAGTAGGATGTGTTGATATTTGCAGAGGAATATCTGTAATGGCTTTGCTTCTTAATGAACTACAGGGATTGCATGCCTTATATGTAATATTGATCTACTGTATTAATACAAAGCTAACAGTACGTGCCACTAGGGATCATTATATAGGTAAACTGCAAGACAAAAATAATAATTTAAACCTTAACAGCATCAGATACTACAAATATACAAATAATGCTCTGTTTTGTGGATTTTTTCTCTTCTAGAAATTCCTTTCTGTAGCAAAATCAAAATTTTATGTTTTAGGGGCTGACAGCAAAATGCTCTCTACAACCAATGCATCTTAGGCAGAGTATAAAAAGCTTTAAAAACCCACTGGTTGTGTTAATTGTGTGAGACACTTTTTCAAGCCAAAAATAAATAGAAGGTAGAGTTTTGTAAAAGTATAACATTTACATGGCATTCAGAATGGCAAGGTAACATAATAATATCATGTACCATGATGGACACCTACCTGACATTTTAAACAGATTCATATATATATAGATACACACACACACACACACACACACACACACACAATATGAAAGTGGCATGTTAAGGATATTTCCGAATCTCTCATACAATATTATCACACAACGTAGGAAAGCTGCAAATATTGCATGAATCAATTTCTCCATATGGAAAAAAATATAGACTACAGGAGTATGAAGAAAGAGGTAAAGCCTCTCAATTTTCACATCCAATAGACTGTTCCTCCAATGTTAAAAAAATGAGCATTTCCTGATGCAGCAGCATCTTTGCTGTGCTATAAACATCAGCACAAATACTTAACTCCCTCTGTGCTGCCAAATGAAAGTTCAAAGTTCAGTATACTCAGAGAAGTGATGCTATACAAAAATGGTTCTTAACAGTGTATCAAATTTACTCAGTTTGGAATTTAAATATGTATTCCCCACCCCCCAACAGCCACATCAGCAAACTCACCTGGAGACATGATGGTGAATCTAGGTTTCCGTTAACTCTTGCATCAATCAGTAGCAAAGGCTTCTACAGGCCAGGTTCTGCAGTCACTAACACCTGTGCCCTGGCTTTGTTCCTAGTTTGTCCTTGATGCCGGGACTTTAAGTTTCTATTATTTGAATCAGTGGATACTACAATGTCCATAGACAGTGGCTAACCCCTAGCAGAAAGTAAGCTGTGTATACACCATCAACCTGGCACAAAGGTGAAGAAAACCATAACTTTTTGCTAAAGATCTATGTGAATTCTTTGAACAGAGGCTGCCTGAAAGAAGGCTAAATTAAAGCATCTCTCTTGTATTGTGGTCATGTTCCTTCCTTAAATCACTACCCTGTTGAGCCAGTGCATTACTTTGGTATGACTTTTTCCCCCTAAAGCTCCTTCCATTCTATACCTTGACAGAAGGCAGTCATGTGGGACCACTATGCAGATCATTGTCAAATCATGCCCTCATTTACCTATATACGCCCTATTACCTTCAAAAAGACAGCTCAGGTACAAATGAGGGCATAATTTAGCCCAACAATTATAACTTGTTTAACAATTCTCTTGATGCACTGGATTAAAATCCAATTTTGCTCTTCCAAAAAGTGTATTGCCTCCCAGGTGAAGATAGGAACAAGGAACAGTAAAAAAAGCCATAGTCACTGACATGAACAGGTATAACCTTACACATGCAGAGGTAAAAATTTTAAATAGGAAATGCCATTTTTTCAGTTACTTTTCAGAGTAAAATTGCATTTTAAGTGTCCACAGTTACTAAAAAGTCAGATGAACTATGCAAACTACATGTAAAAGTAAACTTTGCTATGTGCTGTGAAGCACAGCTGTGAAATTCTACCCTGCATTAGTATCTTATACCTATATCAATGTTTTTAATGGACTGGAAAAACAGTTGAGATTTAAAAAAAAAAAAAACAAGAGAGAGAGATAAAAGATACCTAAGTCCTCAGCTGACATTTTAAGATTCCACAGTTGAGTTATTTGAAAAAATAAATTTCCAATGCAAGACCATATCAGGCATGTGCATTCAAGTGTGCATTGCTGGTGCTGTCATTATTATTTTTAAAAACAATGACTGAATCCTTCACATGGTTAAGAGTAGCCATGTAGCATGAATGGTATGCAGCATGCACTGACAACCCGGAAAGAAACATCAGACATTGCTTTTCTTCTGCAATTGTTCCAGTTTTCTTTTCAAGAGGTTGTAATTTTCCCTGGTCCCAGGTGCTGTAGGGTCAAGCTTCAGAGAGACTTCGTAGTGTTTCTTGGCTAAGTCAAGATTTCCCCAGCGATGGTAAAGCACAGCTGGAACAGCAATGAGGAGTTTTCATTAGCAATATTGTTGAATAATGAGCAATCTTGCCAATCATTTGGAAAACAACATTAAAGCATTTGTTTCCAGTAAAGGTTTCTTTTGCCAGCTGGTGGCATAGTAGCTGCTTGTTCTGCTGCCAGCTGCAAGAGCAGAGCTTGGAAACAGAATTGGCCAGGGAATGAGAGAGGAATGAATTACGCTGTAGCCATTAATTGCTGTTTTTATCTGGTGAGCTCATAGTGGTTTACAAGCAGAGCACAAATGAACCAATTGGGAAGCACTGAAGTGCAACCACCTCTGGACTATGATATGCAGCCTGTTTGATCTGTCATGCTATGTGATAGCTTTTGGTAACCTGTTCTTCATGCAGGTGGTTTTCTAGAAAGTAGACAGAACAGAAAACTCCCCAGGAGGAAGAAGTCTCATTATATATATAAAAAAGAAAAGCAACACAATGAACATGGATTGAACAAATAATGCATTGGATAAAGTTTGCATTACAAGAGTTAGAAAATTCTTACCTAAATTACCGTGGTAACTGGCTGCATTTGGATTGGCTTTAATTGCCTTGAGAAACAAAGCTTCAGATTCCTGAAAATAATTAAGATGTAGTCAAACAGATGGGCCACTTTTGTAGTAAACAAAGCAAAATGCACTCACAAATTGCAATATTTTTTTCATCTCTACAATACATTTTCTCTATTGTATATGCCAGTCATTTTAGGCTTTTCCTTTCTGGCATTCACAGTCTCCAAATTGTCTACAGTATTTAGCTGAATACCTACATGGTATAATAGTAGTAATATTTTCCACATAGGCTCCAGTTTCACCGGCATCTGCTACTGTAACTCAGAGCTAATAACTACTGTAGATAGTTTGCAAAGCATTTTACATGTTAATTAATTCTTCACTTACTCATGTTTCCATACATTTCAAATTGAAGTTTTCTTTGACAATTCAAAAGATGTACTTAAAAAAAATGCTGATCAGAATTCTTTGGATATTTTTATTAATTTTTCTTTCCATTGCTAGAATAACAACTTATTTCCTTAAGTAGTATTACGACAACATTCAAGGTTGATGTCTGACTATAATCCTCATTAAGGAATAGTGACCGCTTGAAAATATAAAAAACTAGGAGCAACTGAAACACAATTCACTTCTCCCACAAATGGCTTTTCTAACACACTCCCAGACTATTGATTTTTGGGAATCTTTAAAAAAAAAAAAAAAAAGCAGAGCTCCCTCATGGCATCAAACAATCTGAGCCAAGACTACCAGGCTGTTCAGTTACTTTACCACTTCAATTATTTTCCTTTTTCAGACTGAGCTGCCAGGGTAGAAACCTTTGCTCTGTCTGTAGAGTTTCTTGTTAAAAATTATAATCTTAACTTGTAGGTTTGGTTTGGTTTTTTATTAGTTCAGATGGTTTAGAAAAGATAATTTAGGTAGTTCCTATGGCACTGTATATTTTAGATCCTGGGACATCCTCCTGCTCAATTCTGGAGCAAAAGAATCAGTGAGAGGGGCTAGTTTTAAGTTGTATGTTTCATGTTCTTTTGGCGAGGAACAGACATTCAAAAAGCCTGAGCCTGAATTGATTCAATCTTTGCAGGTTAGTTTAACCTACAGAGCTTGAACTGATTTGCAAGTGGACAGACATTCACTTTTGAATCAGGAAATGCAGGCACATGCCTGCAGTGGCTCAGGTTAGAAGCTGGGGGGTGCTAGAGCAGCTCTCCCTTCCCTTCCACAGTGCTGAGCTGAGGTGGTGGGGAGGGGAGGCATGACCAGGTCTCAGCAGGACACAATGATCAGGCAGGGGTTTAAACCCCAACCCTGGCCTGCTGCAATGTGCCTGGAGGGGGATGGGGAAGCAGCTCTCATCAGATTTTTCCCCCCACTTGCTGCTCAAGGGGTGGGGAGTGTTGCCAGACCCTGGCCACTGGCTAGCACTCTGAGGCAAGGTGGGGAGGGGGGAGAAAGGCCTGCTTGTGTGGACTGCATGCATCTGTTGATGATATCGAGCTTTTCAGTCTCCCTCTTTCTGCTTCTTCATACTGTCTGCAGCAAACTGATGGCACTCACAGGTCACCTACATTTCAAACCAGATCATTTCTCACACCTCACTCTGTCCCCTGTTGAACACTGACAAATTGCAGCCAGCAGGGTGCTTATCAGACCACAAAGTTTATCCGCCCATCAAGCCCTACAAAAGAAAACTCTCTCATTCCTTTCAAAGTCTTCTTAGCTAGTGGCTTGCAAATGCATCCTGCAGACGTCTGCCCTTGTTCCAGTGAAATTGGAGACAGACACACATACACACATCTCAGCATTAGCTAGTAGGGGGAGGGGCATGGCCAGATGCCAGCTGGGGTCCTACTGCTGGGGTCCCTGCTGTGGGAGAGGAGCAGGAGGGGGGAATCGCTGCTTGAGCAGTGAGTGGCCAGGGGCAGGGGTGAGAAGGAGGGGGGCGGCGGCAGGGGGAAGCCTGGCAGACACTGCAGTCCCCAACCTCCTTCTCAGCCAGCCAGAGCTCCAACTAGGGAGGAGAGGGGTAGGGCCAACCCTGTTCTCTAGAGCAGACAGCTCAGCCCAGGGCTAGAAAGCATGCTGGGGGACTCTGGTTTAACTTAAACCAGAAAGGGGTCTGGGACAGAAGTTCCATAAACTGGTTTGACCCAAATCAGTTAAGTCTGATGCTACATTCAACCAAGGTTTATCCTAAACCAGTTTCAGTCATTTTGAAACTGGTTTATGTGCAGTGGGCTTCTGTTCTGTTACAGGTTTAAACCAGTTTCTGATCACTTAAACCGGTTTATGTGCAACTTCTGTCCCTAGCCTTTGAGTCTAACAGCTATATTGTTACTCACATACCACATGCACCACCTCCACCTCCCCCAATCAGCCCTCCAGTATTGGGGTGCATATCTTAATCAGGGAAGCTAATTTTTCTTCACTGGAATAGAAGCAGGGTAGAATACTGCAAACAGATACTAGGACTTATGGCTGCTAAAACAGATGCTGCTTAGCCCCTGCTGTTTGCAGTCTTAGGGAGAAGTCCCGTATTAATCCTCTCTCAGTTGTGGCAAGGCAGTAGCTTCTGGCAGAAGAACCCATGAGCTGGCTGACAGCGAGTGAGTTGCTGTAGGCAGTCTGTAATATTTTCATGAGGTTTGTGGTGTGGGAAAAACACTTTATTATTTACAGGAACTTACATAAATAACTAGTTACCGTAAAGAATGTAACAGTCTTTCTACTGCCCTTGCAAGAGTATGGGGCCTAGCCCTGTTGCTGTCCTGCCACACCAGGAAGTTCCTGCTGCTTCACCCAAAATGTCTCATGAGATATCACACTTCCTAGACACTATGTTTTCAGGAGGACTTGCTTTATTACACAGTCATCCAGGAAAAAGCTTTTTTTCTGCATTCTGCCTTCCCAAAATAAGGCATGTGTTCTACTTGGGGACATTTGTGATGTGAGAAAAGTATGGTACTAGCTGTCAGTCATACCTAACTGACAGCTTTTCCTAGATTATTGTTTGGTATTTCTAAAGCAACCAAGCATCCTAGATTTTCCAGGACTGTCATATATCTCCAATGAGTCTCTGAAATGGGACTTTTGTCCCAAATCTGAAAAACTGATTCTGTATCAGCACCAGACAGCATCCTGCTGCATCTGCTAGAGAGAAGGCAGAAAAACATTGCCAGGTACCCCCAACACACAAAGCTTCACCCAAGCTAATCAGTTCCACCTCTCAACAGAGCTAATTAGTATAGCTGCATTCACACTCAAGCAAATTAACTCTGCTTCCCAGCAGAACTACATAGTCCACCAGCAGCACAGACTAAGGAAATTACACTTCCTTGAACCCAAAGTGGTGTAGACTACTTCCAGTTCTAGAGGTCAGTGGAGCACATCAAACTGGGTCTCTAATCTTGCTCCCTATTATTTGTCACTGTAGGTGTGGTAGACTCTCTAACCTGAGGCCCCCAAAGCCAAAAACAGGCTTTCCTATGAGAAAAACCCTGTTATCCAGACTTTTTGGTTCCATATCTTCTGCCCATGTAAAGGGTATGCCTCCATTATCTTTGGGCTCTCTATATGGCAAACACAAGTGGCTGATTTCAATATCAGCACCTTCTATATGTTGCAAGTGGACTACAGAGACACAAAGCAAAAGCACCCAAGCAAACTTGCTCTAACCTCAGGAAAAGGTGATAGCAGAAAGCATGAACCATTATAATTCTTACACTGTTAGTATCCCCCTATAGTACTTACTGCATTTCACAATATGTTGGCTTTTCTAAGATTTAGTTAAAAATGTAAACTTCTATCTTTTTTCCATTGTGAAGATGCAGCCAGAGCAAACAGATGACATGCTGCTGTTCAACTAATCCAGCCCTCTAACTGTGTCACAAGCCACGTAGGAGGTGGAGTGCTCTGTCCAAGCGTAACAGAATGATGTTACTAGGCATAGTGGTTTCCAGAAAAGCTTAATAAAGTATACATTTGCATTCGACTCCCATTAACATATGCCTTCTGGCACATGCCTCTTGAAAAAGATTTTATTGCCACTGCTTTGCTCAGCAGTTAGTAGAAGAGTACTGGATGATTAAAGGCAATTTAAAAAGCATCACACTCATATTATCATAGATGTGTGGACTAAATATACATTTCCGTATACTGTGTTAAATTTCAAATTGCCTGTCAAATCTTTACATTAAATATTATCAGGAAACTTGCAACACTATTTATAACAAAGCTCTGAGAAAGTACACTCTATTCCATCTGCTGCCAGAAGTACAGCAAACGAGTAGTTTGCTTTTGTCTCCAATCTGAGAATCGCCGAATTCATGAATAGTGCAGACATATTGCACTTCTTTGAGGGGTAGGTTGTGGGGAGGGAAGAGAACTAGAAATAATTAGAGACCTACTGAAACTGCAATTACACAGACATTGTGAAATCTGGCCTTGCGGG